TTTTTGGGGGGGGGTGGGGGTTGGGGAGAAAGAAAAACAGATCCCGTGTGTTTATGTCACAGCCAACTGTTCATAGTGTGATACAATGCTCCAGTCGTCCGAGAACCAAACACCAGCTCTTTTTGGTGAGGAGAGAGACATCGTAGTGTTGCATGTAAGACCACCATTGCTTCTGCACGATCACTTCTTTTTAGAGCCAGAATGAGGATTAATAAGGTCCTTTTTGGGCAGGAAATGCTACGTGCTAGCTATGATTTAGTCCTTAACACATAAAACATAGCTTTATGCTCAGACATTGGCTTAAACCCCTCTCTTAAAATGTATCCATCCCCATTGTTTTCACCTTGTGATGTACGCACAGGCCTGCGTTTCTTGTATTAGGTTTGCAACAATGTGTGCATGTGCATTCTGGTAAATGTATCCACAGAAAAAACAACAACCACACAATGACGGTGTTATTTCTTCACAGGACCTTCTTGCATTGGAAGGGAACAACCTTGTTGACAGGAGATCACAGCAGACAGGACACTATCTCATTCCAGGGCTCCTGTAAGAGCCACTTTTTGCTTCACACCCAAATGAAGTTAACTGCCTCCACAGAAGCAGCACTCACAGAGGACTCTACCTGTAGCCGGGACTCCTGTGCACTGTGCTGGGCTCCAGTAGCCCACCCATGCCTGTGATCCCCATCCCACGGCGGGTGCGCAGCTTCCATGGCCCCCACACCACCTGCATGCACTCGGCCTGTGGGTCGACGCACGCTTCCAAGCTAGTGCACACCAAGTACAATAACTTTGACCTGTACCTGCGCTCACGCTGCATGTACAGCTTCCTCCGGTTTCTCCTCTACTTTGGCTGCAGTCTGCTGACCTCTCTGCTCTGGGTGGCGCTCTCCGCTCTCTTCTTCCTGCAGTACGTCAGCGTGCGCGTACTCCTGCGGCTGCAGTACAAGCTGTCTGTCATCCTGCTGTTGTTAGGGCACAGGCGCCTGGACTTTGGGGTCCTTAATGACCTGATCATCTACAGCATGCAGATCACCATGTTTCTGGTGGGGGGGCTCGGTTGGTGCTTCATGGTGTTTGTGGACATGTAGCTGCGATGTGAGTGGTGGTGGGAAATGTAGTGTATGATTTGGATGCTTCACACTGTAACTGCAGCCTCGTGTGTTGTTGTTATGGGACACAACAACACACTCTGTGTCGCTCTCGGCTCTAGACTAAAGACCCCTTTGATTTCAACTCTAAATCGAATTGGTTTAGTTTCAGATATGATCAAATCCAGTAAGAATCTTTGTAACATCTGTGTGTACAGTCCTTAAAAATGTTGGTCCTGTATAACTCAGACACAACCTGGTTGCTGTTTAATATTCAAAATTGTCCGTGAGGTCAGTCTAAATATGAGTCAGCCTCAAAATCTCTATTTTCATGTCATTTGTAAACTGTTTCCACAAATTTTAAAGGGCATCTTGACTAGAAACTCATTTGTTTTCAATAATGGAAAACATGAATGTCAGTGTTGCATGGAAAACTAACTTAACTCATGACTGATGTGCATCATGGCTGTGTGATGCAAGGCAGTCATTTGTGCAAAAATAACACGAGTTGGGCTCCAAACGCAAAAGTGTACCATGATTCCCAGGTTGAGATTATTTAGTTAATATCATGTGTAAACACAGAATCATGTAAACATACATGTACGACAGGGGTGAAGCTGATATACACTAACTTATGGTGGATAAAGTGACCAAATAACAAGTTGTCAAAAGTGTGTGTAATGTGCTTTTTGTGAGGCAGAATAGGAGACAAACTGTGCAAGTGATAAACATCAACTTCTTTTGTAAAGTTATTAAATAAAATTTCTGTTGATGAACTGTCTTGTCTTTAAAAATGTATTTAAATTGCATTGCCCGAGTGAATGTGTTGACTTTATTGTGTAACACCCATGATGGCATGCCTCGGGCTGTGTCATAAGAGTGTGTGACAGTTCAAATTGAGAACGTCTTTGGGTCAAGTGCTCCATCCGTCGAAAGCTGCCCTGACAGACTTCTCTGTTTAGCTTCCTCCAGCACGCAAACGCCAGCCACAACTAGACCCCACTGTTACTGCCAAGCATAACAATGGAGATGGCTGTGTCCCAATCACCTTATATAGCCTCATTTTCACATGGCATGAAGTATGTTTACAGGAACTAATGAGGGTCAGTGATGGAATGTAACTAAGTACATTTACTCAAGTACTGTTAAGTACAAATTTGAGGCACTTTAGTACAGCTTTAGGTACTTTATAAATAAAGATTTTTGCAAACAAAACATGAAAATGTAATAATTCAGATTAAACTATTTGCTGCTTTTCCTATTAAGAATTTCGAGGTTTGGATTAGTGCAAAGGTGTTACTTTGGAAATGTAACCGCATTTTATACTATTTTCTGAATACTTACAAATCAAACAAGTGATTAAGAGGGAATAATCTATATTGAAAATGAGTTACTTGCTGTCCTTTACAAAGAATCTAAACATTAGCTTCATCTCAACCAATGACAACTGTAAAATCTTCATTCTATATGAATGCATGAGTAATTTATAATAATAACAGTCACAGGGGACATTTTTCTCCACTGAAAACGTTCACTTTAATACTTTTAAGTAACTTAACTCCTGATTATACTTACATACTTTTACTTAAGTAATATTTTCAATGCAGGAATTTACTTGTTACAGAGTATTGTTACAGTTTAGTATTAGTAATTTTACTTAAGTAAAGGAACAATGATTAGGTCACAAGGCACTGAAAAAAAAAAAGCTTTTTACACTTAACCTGGTATAATTGAGGCTATGAATTCTGCACCTGCATGCATCAGCTTAGACTTCCATGTTCATCATCAGCTAGGGCAGCAAACTACAAGGACTCCATCTTTAGATATGAACTTTCGACACAGTGGCTGGTGGCCTGACTGAGACATGCTTGAGACTGGTATGGCCTCAGGCTGTAAATGGATCAAGGGGCAACAATAAGCTTTTGTTCTGAGGATCAACACATCATATGCCTCATACTCTGTGCCGGGCCCAGTTACCCCAGACGAGAACTAGAGAACATGGATTGTCTTGTGATGTCAATGTAGTGCAATAGGTAGGCTTAATGATTAAGTCATGGCGTATTCATTTTCATTTCTTCTTTTTGTTTGAAAAGCTGAAGTCCGCTTGGTCTGAATGACTTGCCTTTTTTCTTTGTCCTGTTCATTCATGAACATTGACGCCTCTTCTTATGTTTGATTAACTTCTTCCGGTTCGGATCTTGAACCCTTGAACGCCACATTCATGAAAAATATCCAACACACGATGATATGTCATCAATGTGAACTGATGTTGAATCACTCCTAATGAATTAGAAACATGTCATACAATGTCAACTTTATTCAGCCCACTGTTGCCAAATTTTGATCATGAAATATGACCTACTGCGTTGTAACTAGACCGCACTTAACTGGAGTGGATAAAATCAGCAGGCATCTTATTAGGCTACAGTTACAGCTTTACTAGTTTAGCTGAACAATGAGTCATAATAAAACATCTTTTAATTTCCTTGTAAACATTAATAAGATGGTAATTGTACTAATGGCAAAGACCTAAGTACAATCAGATATTATAAACTCAGCACTAAGTAGCACAGACACATGATAGTCCCAGTAGGAATATCATAGTGGTGCCATACACTTTTAAATGCCAAAGGGTACAATAAGAGCACTGTAAACTCTATTAAATGTAGTCAACCCACTTTAAGTTTAAACAGAAGTATCACAGGACTAATAGAGTGATCTCATTCTCTTTGGAAGGAACTGAGTATCACATAGAAGTACTTTCGCACACTGGGGTGGCAGAGGTTACACATACAAGGTAATTCAGTGTCATCATGAAATGAAGAGATGAAAAGCAGTGTAATTTAATATTAATGAATGGTAGAGCAAATTGGGATATGGCCGAAGTGGATAAGCTTATGCTTGGTACACTTGAGGTGTTCTTTAGCCTTCCTAAATACATTTACTAAATTGTACAGTATTTTTTTTTTCAAAAAAGTACAGTTTTGATGTCATTGTACTTAAATTTAAGTACCAGTATATGTTGTTTTTGCCTTACATTTATCTGATTGCTGTATTTGCTATTTGCTTGCTTTTCATAAAAGATTTTACTTGTGAAACAGATGACATGAGTCACAGGATGATTAAGGAAACATTTCTGCAATGTTAGACATTGGGACAATTCTTCACAAGTAGTTACATTTGCTTTCTATTAAAAAGAAAATCCTTCACTAATGGATTTGAATACATTTTCCACTCAGTTAATACAGAATGAGTATTAAGTATGTTAATGTACTGTAGGTAGTGGTGGAAGAAGTACTTGAATATTTTACTTCAATTTTACTTAGTCCTGCACTCAATATATTACTTGAGTAAAAGTTTGAAGCATTAAAATATACTTAAATTACAAAAAGTAAAAGTGCTCGTTATTAAAAATGGCCCATATTAGAATGATGTATATTATACCATTGAATTATAATTACTGATGCATGAATGTGTCACTCTAATGTTGCAGCTTGGTAAAGATGGGTCTTATTTTTTTTTACTTTTTTACTATCTAATTCCAGTTAGGATGTGAATTTTAGCAAGCAATCAATAAAGTATCATGATTTATTGATTCTATTTTGTATTATTAATCTGAAGCTGCCACGTAAATAGGAAAGTTATCAAATAAATGTCAATAAATGTAGTGCAGAGTATAAAGTACAACATTTGCCTCTGAAATGTCGTGGAGTAGAGGTATAAAGTAGCAGAACATGTTAATACTTACTAAATAAAGTCTATCTTATTCACATATACATACATATAGATATGCATAAGAAGAAGTAGATATACTTTATATCCTTATATACCGGTACATATAGGACGAATATCATGCCACTATGACGTACAGCAGACCTTGCAGCAGTGATTTAGTGAGCTGTGATATTGTATGCCTGCAGTAAAGAAAAGTTGACTTGAGGTCACACCGCCAGCAGTTGGCGCTTATAATTTAGCAAAACAGCAGCACGCATGCGCACATCATGTAGCCTGAGCTGTCATATCATAAAGGACACGTGAGTCGTGAGGTAACCACACATGTACATTTTATTTAGGAGCACAACACGGTTTAGTTGTAGCTCCAAATGTGCCCCCCCCCCCTTTCCCCTCCTCTTTATATATTACATTTTCATCATACCCAGTGTTACTAGCAGGGCTCGGTTTATTAGACCTACAGCAGTCTGCACCTTTAAAGCCTGCGGAGTGCAGCGAGTTCATGTGTCCGTAAAGGCGGCACGATATGACCGAAACACTGCTGACCGCGTAGACTTAACAGTGGGACAGTGTACCTACAGTAACCGGGCAGCTCCGACAAAATGTCTGTGTCTTTAAAAAGAAACTCTTCGCCGAGTGGTGCATGATGTCAGGCAGTCCGTACACTGTTCATGTGAGCGGCGTTCACTTCCTGCAAAGGGACCAGAAGCGGGCAGAGAGAGAGAGAGCGAGAGAGAGAGAGCGAGAGAGAGAGAGAGGGAGAGTAAGAGAGAGAAAGAGAGAGTGGGATAGAGAGATGGGGGACGAGCGGCCAAGATAGGACGAGAGTGATAGAGTGAGCCAGCGGACGAGAGGGGGAAACCGGGGCCTGTTTTTTTTTTTTTTTTTATAAAAACAACCCCGCAAACTTTATAGGTTATCCGAAGAGAAAGCCTGCTGCCACATCTGCGCCAGCTGACAGCCGCAGTTTATGGAATAGCGACATATCGGGTAAATATATCTCCCCCCCCCCTCCTCTGTCTTGGCTTGGTGTTTACGGTGCCGGATTTGTATGACGCATAGGTTTTTTTGTGCCATGCATTATTCCTTCGCTTTCTCAGGCAGCTGCATACCCCGACAGCGTGCTGACATTACTGCACGGGGGTTCATTTCGATATAAAACTGCCCGCTAAACTTCGCTGGACTCCGAAACTTTGGTGGAGCAATAGCACCAAATGTGAAAAAATTCTTAACGCCAGAAGATGGTAGGTGATTCCCGTGGAAGTGTACTCACCACGCGCCACTAGTATCATTTAATCCGACTGATATTTGTAGTTTTTTTTTTTTTTTTTTTTTAAGCACCCCAAATTGTAGTCTAATTATAGTGCCGGGGCGACACTTTTAAACACATAACCGCAGGAAATAGTGTTGCCATTAGTTTCTACTGTATGAGTGGAGAAAGTGGCATGAATGCGTCATGATGAAGTCTAAACAAAAAAAACAAAAAAAACAAAAAAAAGAATCTCCACCCATAATGCACCCATTGTAGTGCTATATGTTACATTGATTGCAGCAAAAAAAAAAAAAAACTAAATTGAAGTTGCTGGTGTTGTCGGGACCAATATTTCCCAAGTGAGTATAATATGTTGTATGTTGTATATTTAGTTGCAGATATTTGCTTCTTTAAAATATATTGCCTCATAAGATACACTTACACTTATAGCTGTCTTTAACAGTTGTATGAGCTGTGAAAATGTTTGTGAGGGACTGTGACCCAAAATGGATGAAGAATTCATGATGCGAAATAAGTTTAGCAAAGTCAGAGTGATGGAAGCATTAAGATGAGATACAGTACAGTTAAAAATACAGTACGTTTCAGTTATACACTTTACAGTTGGCTGCTGTAGTGTCAGTTCTGTCAGTTGTGGCTCTGTTTACCTTACCTGAACCTTGCAGGAGCAAAATGACTATACTTACACCCCCCCCC